GACTCCTCTTTATTACGTAAGACAAGAGTCAGTATACTTTCATAAATATTTTTGAGCTTTTCAGGGCCATACATCTGTCTCTCTCAACTAGCCAACAAAATGCAGTCTCTCTGGCTAGAAACCCCGCTTCTTTGCTGCACAACAGGTGAGTCTGGCTGCCCTTCTCCATGCCCACGTGGGTTCCTATACTCTTTCATTTGTTGGTTTGCTGGTCTTAGGGCTTGAATTCAGGGCCTGGGCACTGTCCCTGAGCCACTTTGTGCTCAAGGCTAATGCTCTACCACTTAGTCTGGCTTTTTCTGAGTAGTTTATTGGAGATAAGAGTCTTGCAGACTTTCCTGCCTAGGCTGGCTTTGAACAGTGATTCTTAGATCTCAGCCTCCAGAGTGGCTAGGATTACAGACGTGAGCCACCAGCATCCTGCTTGGGTGCCTATATTGCTATTGTCAGTTACAGCTGGTGAATCTTGCTTGGCACTTCCTTGTCCTTTATCTTACAATAGCAAACTCTTGTCTTAATTCTTAAGAGAGTTGGCTCACATCTCTTTCCCTTGACCTCCGACAAGCTTACTACACTAGTCTGTCTTCAATCTCCTCTTCACATTTCTAGTAATTTGATCAGCAAATACTTATTGAGGTCTCAACCCCCAGGTGCATTGCTCAGTACCTAACTGTTGAGTGAATGAAAGAATGAATGATTGTTTACTATCTACCTAAAGCAAAATATCCTTGGCTTATGCATTGGTTCTCTTTCAGTAGTACTGAGTTAGAGTAAAATACATAGGAAATAACACATTATCATTTGAAATAACCACTAATATAATTCAAAATTCATTAAGGTCATTAAGGAGTCTTAGGCATGAATGATCCTTTTCCTGTAGAAGATGAGGCTTGCCGTTCACCAGATTTCTGGTTCTCTTCAGAAACCAAAATGAATTGCAGATTTGCCTCATCTGCTCAGGCAACGTAGAATGTCACGTGACTTTTGTCAGTTACTAAACTGTGAGCAAGAATGATAGCCTGAGTTCCGGGCAGAAGCAACTGAGCACACAGGGCAACCTTCTGGCCCTGCCTACCTTGGTTTCCTGTAACTGAAAAAGAATTTACCAGAACTGGGTGACTTGAAACATCCACAGTTTATTCTCTCATGGTTCTGGAGGTTAACGGTTCAACATGGTTCCTTGTAAAGGCTCCTAGGGAGAACCTTCCTGGTCTTTGCATGTTCTGATGGTTGGCTGGCTATCTTGTTATTCATTGGTTTACAGATACATCACTTCAATCTCTTCATCCATCTTGTGGTGTCCTCATGTGTGTGTGTGTGTCTGTCTGTCTGTCTGTCTGTCTGTCTGTCTGTGTCTGTGTGTGTCTGTGTGTCTTTCCACTGTGCGTTGGTATCCAAATCTCCCTTTCACTTACAAAGACATTGGCCATTGTATTTAGGATATACTCTAATCCAGTATAAATGCATCTGCAAAGTCTCTACCTCCAAACAAGATCACACTGACAAATAGCAAGGATTAAGCCTTGAACATAGCTTTCTAGAGGATACAGTTTAACTCATTACATGAACCTCTACTGTCCCTCAGGAAGCATGTGTCAGAGCAGCCTCTATGAGCCTGGGTCCCTGACTGACTCCCATGGGATAGCTGTGTGTCCCCAGGCTCACCACAGTTCAGTGACATGGCCTCTATGAAGAGAGTGGCAGGCCCATCCCCTGACAAGTAAAGCATCTAGTAATTTGGGGGTTTATTGCCTATATTTAATTGATGAGTATAAATGAAAGGTGTCTACATTGTATCATTGACTTGTAACCTGTTTCTGAATTGTTCTCCATAGAGGATGCTCCTATTGATCCTCAATTACGTACTGAGTGTAGGCTGTGGGCTTCATGCAAGAGGGACGTGAGGGTCTTAATGAGAAAGAGCAGGCGATGTGATCTTGGGAACCAAATGGAAAAGCTCTGTAGCAGTGTGAGCTGGTGATGCTGGTGGAAGACATGTAATGAGACAGAGTAAGAGGTAACATTAACAGGTGTCCCTTCCCAGGCCCTTTGCTTAGTGCTCTATGTGTGCAATTTCCTTTAAGCCCCACAGGGCTTAAGGTTGGAATTTTATGTCCATTTTACAGGAGGTAAAACAGAGGCTGAAAAGATTAAGGGTCTTGCCTGATAGGCACACAGGATTCCCAGCACCTCTACAAGCATGAGGTCTTGGAGACTCCTCTCTATTATACCTTCTATTTCAGCTCAACTAGAATAGTCGTCTAGCCCTGTGTCTTTACTTAAGAACTCACAGTTTGCTTGTCCTACAGTTATTCCCTGTGACAGCAGCCATAGGTTACAGTAATAAGACAGAATTTAAAAAATAAACTACTTTTCCATTTCTATTTCATTTTTGGTAGCTCAGCCTTCTTACCTTAGTTTATGGACTAATCCTAATTCACCCTTTCATCTTTTCATTTACAAGTATTGAAGTTACATGTGATGTTCTAACTTGGCCCATGGATTCAGAAATTACATTGACAGCTTTCAGTTATTTTCTGCAATATTAAAAGTTTACAGTGTGGATGGGATGTAGCTCAGTGGTAGAGCACTTACTTGGCCAGCATGCATGAACAAAGTCTGGGTTTGATTCCTAGCAGTCAAGGAGAGGTGGTGAAAAAAAGGAAAAAACAATTTTTAATGGCAGTTCCCAAAGAAGTCAGGCACAAGCAGCTTGCACCTACAATCCTAGCTACTTGGGAGGTTGAGACCAAGGGGATTTTGTTTTGAGGACAGCACTGGCAGAAAAGTCTGAAAAACTTCATCTTGGACTAGATGCGTGCTGGAGCATGAAGCATGACCTTATTCCCAAAATAACCAGTATATAAAAGGACTGCCATCATAGCTCAATAGTAGAGCACTTGCCTAGTAAGAAAAGGCGTTGGGTTCAAATCCCTCTAGTGCCCCCAAAACAAAACAAAAAATTCCCAAAGAAACAACATGAAATAAAACCAACCCTATTTTTTAAGTGTTTCCAACCTTGTTTCAAAACAGCCTTATGAAGATTGTTTCCCAAATAGTCCAGTAAGAGAATCCAGCCACAGCCACGTTGAAAATTGGAACCTTTTTTCCCCCTGTGTAGACATAGCCTACTTTCTCTGCTTAGAGAAACAGGGAATACCCAAACTGGCATTCAGTCACAGCAAATATGAAATAGACATTTAAAAAAATTGTAGGAGTGTTCAGATCCATGTTGACTGGTTTTTACATCTACCCTGCCTGCAGCACTCCCAATGCACTGTTGGCATGGTGACTGGAAAAAGGAAACTTTCCACGCGTCTGTCACTTGCTACTGTTTCCACTTATTTTACTGTGAATCCAATTTTAACAGTTTCTTTTAAAAAGTTTAAAAAAAGCGTTTGATTCCTTTTGTGTTTTCGGTTTCAGGATGTTTCTCAAATATAAAAACATGTGTAAGAAAAAAAAAGAGCTTTAAAACTCAACGATCTGGGCTTCTAAATATTCAGCTGGTTAGCATTCAGATAATTGTCTTGCCTCTTTCTCATATATGTATTTTTTTCCACCAACATTGTGTCTGGGCTTTGGCCGGGGTGGTGGAGTCTCACAGTCTGAATGTAACTTTGTCCTAACTTCTCTGACTGCATTTGTTAAAAGAGTCTGAAAGATACATCTGCATTCAACAGCATGTAGTCCTTAAGAGACAAGAACATGGAAGTCCTGACTTGTAGAAGAAAGCTAGGCTTTCCCACATGTCATGGCCACACCTAGGTCGGCTTGAATGTCACCTTCGTGGACGTAAACCGTCTGAGATTCTTGGAGTTAGGCTAGGATCACAAATGGAGGGGCAAGTGGGTGCTGGTCTCTTGGAGTGGGTAGAGCCCATTGGGGGTGAATTCCGGTTTATACCAAGGAATCACAGCGGCGCGCTGTGGCACTTGGGGGCGTAAGGTGACTTTCCTGCTCTAGGAGGTTGGAGAGCTGTCTGCCCACTTGGCGTTTCGGGGGTGCCTGGGGCTGGCACACGGAGGCGGCCATTCTCATGTCCCGCTGGCATCACTGAAGTGGTCTGGCTGAAGCTGGCGCGAGGCTTTGGAGGGGAGGAGAAGCAGGGTCAGGAACAGATGTGAGAGCATCGAGGGAAGGCATCTGACATGCGAGAAAGAAACAGAGTGGCACAGCTGGAGGAGGGACCCCCTCCACGTCGCCAGGGATGGGGGATGGGGGGCGGGGGACGGGGGGGGGTGACTTCGCACACTGCCTTTGTTCTCTTACCCTGTTTGCCACGTTTTCCAGTTCGTTGGCGGGCGGGCGTTCACCCAGGCGTTCACCCAGGAGGACAGAGCCGGTGGCCACACCTAGCATCTACCCCCCCTGCCCCTCCACGGACAGCAGAGCGGAGCAGAAGAATACATCCAGGGGTGCTTGTGGCTCCCGGCACATCTGCACAGCAAATGATCGCGAGTTGGCGGCGCCGACTGCGTGGAGCTCTGGAAACCAGGACAGCAAATGAGTGTCACAACAGCGCTGGGCGCGCGCGGGGCGTCTGTGTGTGTGTGTGTGTGCGTGCGTGTGTGTGTGTGCGTGTAAGACGGCTGCAAGCAGG